ATCTATCTATCTATCTATCTATCTATCTATCTATCTATCTATCTATCTATCTATCCATCTTTCTATTTTCCCCGATTTTTTATGTTGAAGAATAATTTTTTCACAAAGGACATTTTAAACATATTTCAAGCATCGGTTTATTTGAATCACAAAAAAAAATCTTATTCAATTCTGCCCTGTTGACACCATAATTCCCTTTCTTCTCTCCAGGGTCGCCTATTTCGTGCGTGCATAGACCACAGAGGATTGTTAGACCTTCTCGGCCCATGTTCCATCTGGCAACTATTCAGAAAACTGATAAGGGAAGAGTGCTGACAAAATTATTTGCTTCACGGATTCAAGCCTTACTGAAATAGATACAGCACGCTTAAATAGGTGAAGTGTTTTACAGTTTAGAAGTATGAACATAATAAAAAGCATTTTATACTTAAGAATATGGGATCAATAGAAAATCGACAAATTTGACCCTAGTGTCGATTTTTGGCCAATATCTCCATTAATTTTGTGGATTGCATTTTGTCAGCATGCCTCACATACTATGTTGACGCTTTATTTCATTGACAATGTTCTATTTTTTAGAATAATTAATGTCTACTTTTGTATTCCGAACGAAGCCTTTCTCTACACAATTTCAATTCATGCTCCAATAATTGACTGCCCTCTAATTGTACAGTATTTAATGCAGTAATATGTATCATTAACAGACAAGCAAACAAACAGACAAACAAACAATTAACAAATAAGCAAGAAAGCAAACATACAAACAAACAAACAAAACCATGTTCATATTTGCTCTGACTTTGGTAATTCGAGTGGGCTTTCTTTTAATTGTAAGAACTCTATGTCATCAACCAAACAAACTAACAAACTATCAAATAAACACGCATGCACGCAAAACAAACAAACAAATAAACAAACAAATAAAATCACGAACAAATTTGTTTTGACTTTGGACATTTGTGAGGGTTTTTTCCAAGAACTCTACCACCATGTTTGATATCATGTCAGTCATGCATCTGCTGCCATGTTTTAATTTAAAAATTAGCACATCTAAAGTCTTTCAATCTTTGCCATAACCAGTTACAATGTATTAAATTTTGTCCACACGAATTTCATTACAAAGTGCATTTCAATTTTTTAGATCAAACTTTAATGGTGTGTTCATCCTTTGCAAGAAACTCATGCTTTGATCGTAATAATGTTATTATCTATACATATTATATTCATGAAAGTTTGTCACTTTGGCTACTAAAACTTCGGAATCACTTAACTTTCGAATTTAATTTTCAGTTTTTCATTAGTTTCGTTTAGATCTAATCTTGGGAAAGTCCGTCTTCTAAGTAGCCATTGTAAACAAAATTAATGAGGTTTCCGTTCTCTAGCGGTGTGCCAACTGATTTCACATCTTTGAAATTCACGAGTGCACAACCACGAAAGCGGAATAGAGAATCAATCTATACATTATCGATCAGAATATATTTGGCAACCTGGAAACACATGCATCACTTTTCTCTCTAGATGTATTGCTCCATTCCAGTAGAGTGTAAATATAGTAGGCCAGCGACTGTCAGTTGATATTAATGCACCGATCATTCCTTTCATAGAAAGGGGGCAAGCTAGTACTAGTAATAAATAATCAGGCTCTCGTCAAAATAAGCAAAGTGAAGAAACTTGCTTTTTTCTGTTGGTTTGTGATTTTTTGTCAAATTTGTGTTTTTTGGCTCAACACCTTTCATTCCCATTAAAGAACTCATTTCTGTGTGGATTTTTCTGAAAAACGTTGATTAAAGGCACTAAAAATGTAAATTTTCAGTTACCACGGACTCTAAAGCTAAGGAAATAACTTATCTTTGGCGGCCATTTTCTCACTAATTTTACCTCTGAAAACAGGTGACCCCACCTCCTTCATTCGCAAATATCTCAACTTGTATTCAAGATAAATGGATATTTTTTTTCATCCAAATAAACACAAGTGAAGAAGCTTTAGGATGATACCAATAACCCTACATGCTCAAAAATTGACGAGAGCCTGATTCCACCACGCTGCATCACATATTATATCAATCTCATTGCAACCTGTTGTGTTCGATTAACTTGTATGCAGATCTTCTGCTCACGATTCACAGGAAAATTCTTTATTGATATTCTGGTGCTTTTTCTTTTAAGGCCAAATCTTGTGACGCTCTTGTTTGCCTTGTTGTAGTAAACGCAAGTTATTCTTTACTTGGAAAGATCTTGTTATTATTTTTTTCTATCGTTTCAGTTTTGAATTTTTTTTTTTCAATTAATCATGTGTCTTTTTTCCCATTCACTGTTGCCTCCTCCCCCCTCCTTCCAACCCGCCCCAACTTTCTATAACCAACGAAAAACTTTAAAACGTTTCCTTCTCTTCTTTCGCCAATACAAAAAAGAACGAAATAGTGTTGAAAAAAAAGGTGTGGCCTTTTTGAAAGGATCTGATCGAGTTGGGTAAGGGAAAATGTAATTGTTGGAAGGCGTTTGGCCAGACTTTGTTCTTTCTTTTCCTTTTTTTTTTCTTTCATTTTTTGTATTTAAATTGTTCATGATTTTGCTAGAAATCGTTCTTGCAAGAAGCAGGAGTCATATTGTTTTATGTTTTAAATTCTGTTATTTAAGACGAATAAACGTGTATTTATGCAGAATATTTTCTTGCTTGTGCAATGTGTTCGTTATTTAGGTGTATAGTTCAGAGTCGGTGGTTGGCGGGTGCTCTGATTTGGTTTGCTGCTTCTTTCCCATCAAACATGTATCATCCTTATCTCCCCTTCGTCTTTTTTGTATTTGTTACTCTCTAGTAACACCTTACACCTCTAATCTCCGGCATTAATATGACCTTATTGTGTTGCAAGTGAGGTAAAACACTAAAAATAGAGAAAAAAATATTCAAGGAATAGATTTTTCACGTTTAGACATCTGGGGAAATGTTCAATAATTAGTTTTCTCTATCAGTATGTTGTGTTTGTTATTGCTGCTGCTGCTGCTGCTGCTGCTGCTGCCTGTTGTTATTCATGATCATGGTGTTGTTTATGACGACAGTTTGTATTTTAATGTTTCTTGTTGTTGTTTGGTTGATGTTGTTGTTGTTGTTGCTCATGATGATGGTGTTGTTGGTGATGCTACTTTGTGTTGTTACTTTGTTGTTGTTGTTGTTGTTGTTGTTGTTGTTGTTGTTGTTGTTGATGAAGATTGTGTTGCTGTTGTTGTTTTTGTTGTTGTTGTTGCTTTCGTTACTGTTGTTTCTATCGTTGTTGTTATTTCTTTTGATGTCGTTGTTATTGTTGTTGGTGGTAGTGGTGGTGGTGGTGTGGCTATTGTTGTTACTTTTGTTGCTAGCCTTCGTGGTTGTGACAATAGCAGAATGATGTTCACGGCGTCATCGTCATTGTTGTTATTGCTTTTGTCGACGTCGTTTATTTTTTCTTTTTGGTGGGGGTGTAGTTATTTAGGAGACTGATAAGAGTATCGTGGAAGGAAAAGAAGTCAAATGAGGTAGTGCTTGATGAAGTCCACGTGGGACGATCAATGTTAAAAACAATCAGGAAACGACAAATGCAGTTTTTGGGACACCTGAATAGACATAAGGGTCTTGAACATCAAGCTCTCACTGGCAAAATTGAGGGCAAGCGAGGCAGGGGTAGGCCCAGAACAACATACTTAGGGAACCTAAACAAATTGGTAACAGGGAAAGATCAGGGAAACGTAGCTTTTTTGAGAGCATCCGAGCAAAAGAATGAATGGAAAACAATGATCGCCGATGTCTGTCGCAGATCTGGCACTGGATGATGATGGTTGTTATCTTAAAATGTTGTATAACCCTAAGTTTAAACAGTGGAAGGTTACATTTAAGGTTTAGGACACTACTTTCTTTTAAAAAGAGCAAACAGCGGCTGCCATAACAGCGCACAATCTTATAGTGCAGTCTAAAATTCAAAAGGATATAGAAGTAGAAATAGGACTAAGAACGTGACGATGGATGGGACACAACTTAAGAAAACCCAGCGGAAACATCACAAGACAGTCACTGCAGTGGAACCCACAAGGAGCACGAGGCAAGGGTAGGCCACGGGAAACATGGAGGAAATGCGTGGAAAGGGACATGAGAGAGATGTAGCTCACTTGGAACTAGCATGGAAGGACGGGCCCGGAAAGAGATAAATGGAAGGAGCTTGTATGTGACATATACCCTGCCAAGGGTGAAAGGCATTGATGATGATGAAGATGAAAATTCAACGTATTGACAAATTAAAAATGTTCCCTCAACTATGAGCTTAGACTCTGCAGCTTTTGCACAAAGACCTGTATCAATTTACCTTAACAGATCAATATGTTTGTAAACACTTGTTAGTGTTCTATTCTAGAAAATTCTTTCATAAATACTAATTTAAAAATCCGAGTTGGTGGTTTTCTAGAGATTTTCAAAGGTTAACAGCTGGGACATTATCGTTTTAAAAAACAAGTCCGTCACTTGTTGGGCACATGTTTTGAGAACCTTTAGTTCAAAACAAAAAAAATTCACTATAAATCAAGTAATTTCTTGTTACAAGTTTTGCCACTAAATAGTGTCATTGCTGAACTGTGACGTAGCCATATGGGTATCTCTACATATTATATTTGTGAAAGTTCGTCATTTTAGCCGCCTAAAACGTGGGAACCACTGAACTTTCGAATTTGAACAAATTAACGGTTGTTCAGAACCGTTTAAAGGAAGCCCAGTTTTACTGAGGAGTCTAAAGTCACTGTAGTTTAATTTTCTGTTTTTCATTAGTTTCGTTTTGATCTAATCTTGGGAAAGTCCGTCTTCTAAGACGCCATTGTAAACAAGTGAGGCTTCCGCTCACAAAGAGTGCGTGCACTGATCCAACAATGACTTGACGATAGATTCTTTTAAGTCTGTTCATCGAACGGGAAACCCAGCTAGTGCAAAATGTGTGTGATTAGCGGGAACTGTTGTGAACAATACCATTTTCCGCGTGACGTGAATTTATAGTATTTTATAAAAATTTATATTATAAAAATATTGTTTTAACCTTTCCTCAATTGCTCGAATAAAAAGTCTGATTAAGTTAAGACAAATTGATACAAACTATCGTGCAAAGTATGGGCGATATTGATTCGCCCATTAAGGAGATGTTTGAGGATAAGTTACGCCACGCATTTTTTTTCACCACACTACAGAATTATATTTATTATAAGTCAAGTCTATGATAAAAAGACACAGAACGGTAAACAGAAAATGTTGACACAAAGTAAGATTTCCAACTTTTAATTTGATCAGATAAATGCCACGCCTAGAAAATTGACAAACTTCAATATTATGTTCTCAGTTTTACTGGTTGCTAAGGAAACCTGTCCGCCATGATCACATTACACCGGTTCAACATTTTATATAATATAATCTTGTATCTTGCTATAAACACACA